TCTTCTTCTTCTTCTTCAGAGAGAGAGAGAGAGAGAGGTTACAGACAGAGGTTACATCGGGCATAAGGCCCAGGATTGGATTCGACATTTTTGTGGCAGACATTGATTGGACATTCGGCAGGGAGACTAYTTTTGGAATTTGCTATCGCGATCTTGGTCTTCTCCCTCACCTCCATCTTTGTYTAGCCTCTCCCCCCATCTCTCATCCGTGGTATCTTCCCCATGTGCGCGTGCAAGGAGGGACCTTTCTTCTGTGTATGCGGTCCCTCATCTCTCTCTCTCACATGTGWGGTGTATGATGGGATGTCGCGTCAGTCTCTGATAGGTCAGGTCATATCTTTGAGTCTTCCATTGCGCTACATTATGCTATTTTCATATGTATCCGGACGTACCTTGCTTGTTGATGCTTTTCTGACACTGCGTTGTCCATTCGAGTCCTTTTCATCACTTGGCAGATCCTTGGCTCCGTATACATTGCTCAACTGAGCATGTCTCTCTCTCTCTCTCTCTCTCTCTCTCTCTCTCTCTCTCTCTCTCTCTCTCTTTGTGTGTGTGTGTGTGTGTGTGTGTGTGTGTGTGAATATCTTCCTCTCCGTTCGATGTCTCTCCCTCTCACTCTCGGGTGCTGTCGAGTACACAATGCTCCAGCCTCAGTCAATGCTTGACAGGACAAGACCACAACGGCGCTTCCGCAACAGGGGCTCGAATGCAAAATTGTGTTGACTCTTTGTACTTTGCTGCTGCAGTTCCGTATCTTGGACTTTTTTTGTTTTACCCTTGCTCTGCCGGTTGCGGTCGGCCTTCGACTCTTTTGGAGCTGAGTAGGAGATGGAATTGCATATGTTTATGGATTTCACCGACTCTCTTGGGACTGATCTGCTGATGCACTGTAGTGACTTTCATAACTGACTGTACCCGCGCTAACATATCGGCCCTACCAGATTACATAACTTGCTGGGCCTGCTACGCCTGTCAAACGGACAAGTGTCAATCGTAAGTTCTAGCCTCTAGGTGTGCAGTACTCTGTACCATTTAGCCACCATCCAGGTAACCTTTCCCCCCCCCAACCTCCCCCCACCCCCCCCCACCACACACACACACACACACTCTCACAGACACACACACTGATGAGTCGGCGAAAGCCCGACGAAACAGTCTGGCACAGTCATGGCTTTCTTTGTGGATTTGTGTATAGCGGATATGACAACACACAGGCGGATCGATGCGGCTAGGATCGGGAGCGTACTAGTGGCCGTGCCATTGGATGTCCATGGCTGATTGGGTGCGTAGAATGAGTTTTATCAACTTTTATGGCTGTGTCAGATTAGTTTCTCAGACTTACTTCCATTCTTGTCAGGGGTTTGAACCCTCGACAAGTCTGCTAGGATTGCAGGCCTGGGTTGGTGGGAGTAAAGTCGACCACCTTTTCCCTCTCAAGGGTATTGCTAACTCTGGGAGACGTGGTGAGTATTTATCCATCAAGCAAATGCATCCTGGGCAGACTGTCTGTCCAGGTTCAACCTCCTGATGAGTTGGCAAAAGTTCGATGAAACAGTCTGGCACAGTCACACTTTTCTTTATGGAGTTGTATGTAGGGAATATGGTCACACACATACACACACACACACACACACACACACAAACACACACACACACACACACACACA